ACCTTGGACTTGATCCTAAGGGCATGGGGCAGTCAGTCATGCAAAGCTTTTGAGCAAGGGAATGACATGGTCAGATATGTATGTTTTAAAATTGGAGCTGCAGTGTGTGCCTGCTTTTCCATCTCATAAAGAAGTGCGGAAGTGCTGGCTCTGCTGCCCTGTTAGGTTGTGAGTCTGGCAGCATGTGGGATCTTCCAGGAGGCTGGAGAGGAGCTAGAAGGAAGGCTTTGTCTGCAGTGTGGTGGAGTGGCTAAGAGCTGGGGTTCCAAAGTCCATTTGCCTGGTTTCAGTTCTACATTCACCACTTAGCTGTGTGACCTCAGGCAAGTGATACAGGCTCTCGGAGCATTATTTTCTATATATGTGAAATGCAAGTAAGGTGGTTCAGGTTAAGGGCATAGAGTGGGACCTGTCCCCACAGGCAAGTAGAAGTGTTGTGCTAGTCTTAGCACAGTGCAAAACCGTTAAAATCATCGGCTCTCCAATAGAAAAGGGTCCTGGGAGTTCATCCTGTTCCCTTTACAACAGTCTGCCTGAGTCCTCCTGTGGCACTCTCCTTGGTCAGACAGGACAATCTGGCTCTCTGTCCCTCACAATTTGACCCTTCAGAATTCCAAGGGGCACCTTTCAGGTGCCTAAACCAGTCTGCACCATCCCAGGCCAAGTGCAGCTTCATTCGGCTATTTCTCAGGGAGTTGCTGAGTGCCGGTGTGAGTAAAGGTTTAGGGGTGAGCAAGACCAGAAGGGTCTCTGCTCTTGGTTTTTTTAACCACTGAGCATGGAGCTCAGATTTGTACTCCTTTTTATTTATTTATTTATTTATTTGCAGTTTTTGTCCAGGGCTGGGTTTGAACCCGCCACCTCTGGCATATGGGGCCGGCGCCCTGCTCCTTTGAGCCACAGGCACCGCCTCTGCTCTTGGTTTAAGTGAGAGACAGATAGTGAGCCTGGAAACAAATAAGTAGTTGCAATCACCATAAATGGTGTTATGGAAGGAAAAAAATGATGCTCTAATAAAATAACAGGGGGGCCCTCTTTTTTGTTTTTTTTTGAGGGTCTCACTGTGTCACCCTCAGTAGAGTGCCATGGCATCCCAGTTCACAGCAACCTCAAAATCTTGGGCTTAAGCAATTCTCTCTCCTCAGCCTCCCAAGAAGCTGTGACTACAGGCACCCACCACAATGCTTGGCGATTTTTGGTTGTAGTTGTTGTTTGGCGGGCCTGGGCTGGGTTTGAACCCACCAGCTCCAGTGTATATGGCTGGGGCCCTAACTGCTGAGCTACAGGTGCCCAGCCTGGGAGGGGGCCCTCTTTTGCATTAGGG